ATATTACATTAGCTTTAATTTAAGATATATATAAAAGTGTCAGACCTTCCGGAACATTTTCAAAATTTAAGTTAAAAAAATTAATTTTTTGTGAAAAAGTTGTCATTTTAAATCCCCCCTTGTGGGCAGGTTAAGGGTTAAATTTATGAAAAAAATATACCAAATGAAAGGTAATGATATTATGCATCTATATAAAAAAGAATTATATTGATATGTTTATTTTTGAAAAAGTTATGGCACTTTTAAGTAAAAAAAATTGAAAAATTAGCGAAAATTAGCGATTTTTAAATTTGTAATTTTTTTGAAGTTTTCTCCCTTTTACGGGGAACGAGGGAATTTTTTTCAATTTTTAAGGGTAATGTCTTCGACTAGATACGATTTGTGATCTTTTGACGTATCATTGAAAGAAATCGGTTCGGTGAGAGCTGAGAAAAAGTGGTAACAGACACAAAAAAAAAAAAAAAACACATCTTAGTAAAACCAATACCTTCTCAGCTTCGCATCGAAGCTAAAATTATAAAAATTTAGCTTATACAAATTTAATATATTAATACAGATACAACTAGACAACCAAGAGAATTGGAAGAAAATGGTCAAAACTATTGGTTTACTGATCGTGAACAAATGGAACATGATATTCGTGAACATAAATTTTTAGAATATGGTGAACATGGAAATAATTTGTATGGTACAAGCTTAGATTCTATTCGTGATGTGATTAATCAAGGAAAAATGTGTGTTTTGGATTGTAGTCCTATAGTGAGTTATTTTTTCAACTCTTACGTTTACTATATAAGTAATAATTTAAACCGTTATTCATTCAGGCATTGAAAATTCTTCACAACTCCTCAGAATTTATGCCATATGTAATATTTATAGGAGCACCAGGTGTAGAAATTGGAAAAGGTTTATATGATTTTTCAAGAAACTTTGGTTATTCTAGTCGTACATTAACTGTAAGTTTACCAAAATATAGTAGCATTAATTTTTGTTTTAGAAATTATAAATTTAATTTACTTATTAATACTTAGATGAATAAATAAATTTATGTCATACAATGATATGAATATAAATGATTCAAATTTGGGATGTAATGTCTAATACTAAACTATAAAAGTTTAATTCTTCTTTGTTCCATTTAGTTTGATCGTCAGAGTTCAATTAGGTATAGTTCTAGAAGAGCTCGTACATTAGAATCCCTAGCATCATTATATGAGGTAAATAAATTTTATTTATGATTAATGTTAGTGAAGCAACATAGACATTATTATTAACTACTTATTTTATGTTTTATTATGTTACTAAATATTTATTTAAAAAATGTTAAGTTTGAAATAGTTTTTTATTATAATAAATAATTATTTATTTTAATTATAGTTTTTTAATGAGATTTGAATAATTGTTAAATTATAGGACGATGATATCAAAAAACAATTGGAAGAAAGTGCTTGTTTACAAAGAATGTATGAGAAGTACATTGATTTAGTAATTATAAACGAAGATTTTGATCATACATTCCGCCAGGTAGTTGAAGCTTTAGATAAAATATCAAATGAGCATCAATGGGTTCCTGTCAACTGGGTTTACTAAGAATATGTTGTTTTTGTTCTATTTATACATCACTGTTACTAGAATTCAGATATCTATGTTATAGCGTCCAATCTATTTAATTAGTTGTCAAGTAATTACCATTTTTCAGCATTTTATTTGTTATGATTATACTTTGCCTTACATTTTATGATTGATTTATTTATATACTTTATTACATATTTACCAAATTATTAATATGTATTAAAATAAGAAATTTTGAATCTCTTTATATTTAACGATATTTACTGACAATTTTTCTATTAGATTTAATGATAAAAGTATGGTCAAATCTTATTTTATATTATATCAATTATATTATTTTTAGTTTGATTTTACAATATCTGGAAAAAATAAATCATATGTGTTTATGTATTAGTTTAATTTTACTATTGTTACTATAATAGTATATTGAATTGTTTATTTTCTCTTTATTCATGAACTGAAATTTAATAATGTGTGTTCAATGTCATGTATTTTTTTTAATTCTTAAGAGACTATTTTAGTAATAATTTTTTTTTGTGTATATTGATTAGAAAATGTGCCATTTTTTTATTATCTTCGTACATTTTTTGATAATCAGTTTTTTTAATTATAAATTCACTAAATTTAAATTAAACATCTTATGTATTACGGATTTTATATGAAACAATAATTAATGCACATTGCTTATGCTCTTAATATTCATTATTTAATTTTAAATGTTTAATAATTATATCATTGACAATTCAAAGAATAAATGTAAACTATACTAATTTTTTGGACGTTTTACTGTTGTATTTGTGACACCTATTTCATAAATAAAATTATATATTTTGCTACTGTGATTTGCATAATTAAAAATAAATGTCTATGCAATACAGATTTTTTTTGTAAACTACATTATTAATTGCTACACCTTATTTAATCTTATATGATGTTATGTTTAATAATTGAAGTTATATTCTTTTTATGTATCACAATTATCTAGACTAATATTATTTTTGATCATTTAAACGCAAAAATGGTACAAAGAGAAAGAATTGTTATTTTATCATAAACTATATTATTTAAATTTCAAAATCAATTACAGATTTTCAAATATTAACAAAAAATTTTACTATATTTTTAAAATAAAATACAATAAGTATTAAAAAAGATATATATGTCTAAGTAATCTGCAAATTAAATCTGACTGAATATGAAAACAAGTTACATGTTAATACAAAATTGTTATAAATAAAATCATGTTACTTGTAGAGTTTATACAAATAAAAAACAAATAAATAACAAGCTTTTAAAATCACATGATTGCCTAAAGGTATTTTTAATATACATATGTACACACATCTAAAGATTTCAATATATATAAAATAAGATTAATATTAAATTTTTTGTCCAAAAAATATTAACAGTAAATTACAAAAAATGGGCGGATATGTTTGAAAATTTGAGTACTATATAATAATTGAGGTTGAAGTAATGGTAGTGAATAAAGTTAGTGAACATTTCAATTAATATAAGCCAAATAATTGTTACAGTTAACTATTTGTTGGATATTAGTAACAAAACATATAATTAAAAAAAAAAAAATTTTTATAGATGTTTTTAAACACAAATCACATTTAACAATAACAAGGTCACATTTACACTAATATTTTAAGATTTTTAATACCAGGATTTTTAGGTTTATAATCTTACTTAAAAAAATTATAGCATAGAACTAATAAATTTCACTTAGTTTTTGGACTAGATACATAGTTTCCATACACAATAGTAATAACCTTTATAAATAAAATAATAATTGCACAAAATAATATAATGATTTCTGATAGTCTCAATGATATTATTTTCTACATATACGTGAAAATAAGGCAAATATAACATTACCACAAGCAATGATGGTGTTTATTAATCACCTACCAGCTGTTCTAAAGTTAATAGAGATTAGCCTTTGTTAGTTGAATTAATAATTTGTTATTTTTATTATTCCATTAGCTTTTTATCAAAAGATAATAATTACATATTCAATACTGCCAAAAATATTGAATCATTGGGATTTGAAATAAATAATTTGTAGAACTTCTAATGAACAAATAAAAATATGTCAATAAATGGAAAATATGTTATTTATAGTGTATAAAATCATAATTATTCTGTGTATTACATATACACAGAATAATTAGGATTTAATATCATCAGTTTCAAAAAACTACTAATTTAGAGCAATAATTTTTGTAACAAAAATAAATATTATCTAAAATTAAAATTAATATTTTGCTATTTTATTTAATCTAAAATTGTATTGCACGTTTAACTAAAAATTGTATAACTGGTTCTGATGAATACTAATTTTTTTTTAATTTAAATTTTAAGTTACTTAATTTTATCCTATATTTTTATTTGACAATTACAAATTAAAATAAATAATATTATAATGTACAAAAATAATTGATTATGAAACTAACATACTTTTATATATAAAAAAAAATTGTATTATAAATATTAAAGAATATCTAAAGACAAAGTATATAAATACTATTTTCTATTGTCAAATAATTTATGATTAAAAATATTAATTTTTATATAAAACTTACTTATTTAATAATGGATGGAATTGTACTTTGGTTTCTTTGTTTCACATCCAAAAATAATAAAGAAATAAAATTGTCTACATAGAAGTATTTCATTTATAAATAAATTTTAAATTAATATTAGAAAAAAAACAAAAATTTTAAATTTGCAATCATCATCTAATATTCATAAATCATTATTTATGAAAGCAAATAATTTTTAATAGTTTACAATCAATAATATTTTAACATAACATTTTTATCATAACAAGATTCGATATTTTTATTAATATTATCTACTTAAACCACCATCATCCAAATTTAAGAATAATTAATAGACTGAAAAAAATTTTGAATCATTATCTTTCTTTTAAAACAGGCAGAAAGTAAATACAAGACATACGTTATTGACCAAATAAAAAATTTTAAACAAAAACTACGATGAAATTTAATATGATGAAATTAATTCATCATCATAAGGAAAACCTTAATCTATAGGAAATGTCATAACATAAAATATGTACAACAATATGACTATACAAACACACTGACTATAAATTATGAATGTAAATAGATAATGCTAAAAAATCTGAGCTGTGAATCACATATAAGATACTTATTGAAGACCTAATTATTTATACAGGAACTGTTTGACTATAGTCATAGTTCTGGTAAAGTTGATCACAGCAATTTTGAGATTCAATTATCACCTGAGTTTGGGATTGACCATTGGATAATCTTTGATTATGTCCATTATTTTTTATCTCAATTTCCAAATTATCCAACGTGGTACCAGAACCATTTGGAGTTAGCGACAGAAAAGAGTTAATTGATGTGAGTGGTAGAGGCTGTTGTAGTACTTCAGGAATATAATCAGTTGTATGTAAATTATGGTTACGCCTACCTGGACTAGGCTGGACATTCCTTGGATTTCTCACCTATAGTTTTTATTAGTAAAATTATTTCATTTAAAACATTTTTTAATAACTTAACTTACTTGATAAAGTATAGGACTCCAAGCCGAGCATTGGCGGAAGAAACATTGAGTTAGAGTAAATCCCAGTGTAATAATAAGACCAACCAGGGCAAATAATGTTATATCTTGAAGTCCATGGCGTAACATTGACAACGATGTAAAACTAACTTGTAAAAGTACTATAGACACCATAACACAGTTAATAGCAGTACTATGAATACGTTTGCTAATTTTTGACTTTCCATAAGCAAAGTAAATATTATAACGATCAACAAAATGTTTAGTTAACATATACAATAGACCTTAAATATAATATGAAAATATTTATTTAAACAATTATACTTTTTACTTTAGTAAAATACTAACCAAAAGGTGTAATAAGTGGACATGAAAGACTATAAACTGTAACAATTGAAAATATTAATAACATCCAAGCATATTGAACACCAAAAGGAAATTCCCAAAGAATTAGTCTTCTAGCACTAGCTGATTCTGCTTTAGACCTATAAAAATTAGAAAATAAAAAATTGATAAAATACAAAACAACACAAGTGCAGACTAAAAATTATGCTTTGCTAAAATAGTTAGCCATCTATCAAAATGAATATAAGCCTCATCTTTTTCTGTGATCATAGATAAATGATTTTGACTAGCGGCTAATTCTTTGTTTTGTTCACCTATTTGTACTAAAAATCTTTGTTAGTACAAGTTTAGAAGACAAAATTGATTATTGTGTGATAAGTAATATATCTATGAAATAATTCTTAAAATCTCAATAGATAAATTATTAAATTATCAATTGTTAAATTTTTGAGACTTAAACCTCATATCAAAATCATTTTCTCAGACCTTTTACTTAGTAATCATTGGCTTTAATTTTTACTTAAAATGTTTTTTTTAGATATACATTTAGTCTTTCAGTGTTATAAAAAGATTTTACTTAAAAATATGTTAAAAAAAAAAAAATACTTAAATAAAATGCAAATTCCTTACCTTGAGAGAGATAGACGAAGAGCATACATAAATAACTCAGGAAATCTGATCAGTTCTAAACTTGTTCCAATTAAAGCAGAAGTAACAACATAATTTACAAAAAATGCTCCTTTATCGGGTAAAAATACACATTGCCATCGGTATTTTTCTGTTCCTGCTTGAAATGCAAATTCTAAAAATGCTTGAGCACTAAAAACAATAATGAAAATATTAATTAAAAAATTTTTTTATGAACTTACAACAAATTACCTAGTTAGTCCTAAAGATGGTAAAATTAAACCCATAAAAAGGAGAAAAACAAAAGTTTTGCGCATGATTGAATGATTTCGTTTTGACCTTGTCCAATGACTAAGCCACTGATCAGACCGCACAACTAAAACAGGTAAAAGAGCAGCAGCAGTCCATAATAATAGTGTTGGCATAAACTCAGATAAAATTGGACTCTATGATAAAAAGATTAAATTTAATATGCAATATCGTATAATATAAATTTATAAAAATTTCATATATCTAACTATAAATAAACATAACTCACAGCTTTTTCAAATTCTCTAAGTTTTAATGTATCCATTACATTTAAAACAATTACAGGTGTAGTCAGAAAAAATAAAACAATTAACAAGAATGTGTTAGTCAATACAATTTTACAGTAACGATTGTGAGATGGTTCAGTTAAGTTTTCCCTAAATAAAAATTTTTATAGTTTAAATCAATGTTACATAATCTAAATTAACATAATATCTAAAATCTATGTACCAAAATATATCATCAGGTGGTGGAGCAAAAGTTACCCTCCATCGATAAGGTTGAAGTAGGCCAGCTACTGTACTAGTAGGAGGATTATGACGACCACATTTTGATAATTTATACACATGATCTTGATAAATCAATCTAGCAGCATGGATAGTAGTTAGTGTAATAAAAGCTATACCTAGAGGTCTTTTTAATGCAGATTCTTTTTCTGTTTCCAACTGATAAATTGTAAAAAAAAAATTAACAAATAATAACTTTATATCATTTACATAAGGGCATCAATTATATTACTGGTTTTTCAATAAAATAATCATTTAATAACTTACTTCTGCTTTTAATCGAGCTTCTTTGATAGAATAGTAATCTATTGCTTCTATATTATGAGAATCACAAAGTCCACAACATATAAAAATATAGCCACAAACATGAGGTTGAACTGTCAAACGTTCACCAGTAGTTTTTAAATGGTTTTCACAATATTGTTTGGCTTGAAAAGCTGCAACTCTATGTAAATAGTTAAAAATAAATATTTAACTTTGTTTAGACTGTATTTACAGAAATGTCTATGCATGCATAAATATATGTATAATTGTTCTTTATTTAATAAGGGATTTAAATTTAATTTTAATTAAAAAAATATATTTTAACTAAAACTTACCTATCTCTTTCTAATTCATTTGCCTTATTTACATCATATGCTAGTTGAATATTTTCAACTTCACATTCAGGGTATGCTTCACTAAAAACATTAATAATTAATTTTTATTGTATAAACTGATAAACACATTTCTCTATTAAAATATAATAATTTAATTTACCGAAAATGTCTATCTAAGTCATTTATATCAGAATTCCGTCTGGGTATGTTTGTGATCATGAGAGTACGAGACCATTGCTCACCATTTTCTTCCAACTTCAAATTAACAGAAAATCTTCTCATAATACAAATAGTTAATGGAAAATATAACATAGCAATCGTCACGTGAACCCATAGCCAAGGCGACCTAATCAAAAAACATAACTAGTATTTTTTAAATATAATTGTTTCTATCTTCACTAAATGCATTTATAAATAGCATAAAATACTAATTGCTAATTAAATTATAAAAATATATTACTCACTGAGGATCAAGATTGCTAACAGTGGTGTGCCCAAAAGATCTTTCATCGCCTTCTAGATCTCCAGCAAAATTTATTGGTAATACAATACCTAAAGACACAGCTGTAATAATTGCCATAAGTGCCATTATGTGTCGTTGAAATGATAAGTATTGTACAGCATCATATCCACATTTTCGTAAAATTTTTTCATCTCTATATTAATTTTATTTAAAAACAGAAAAAAAAACTTATAAAAATTAACTATCAAAATAATAAAGACATAATTTTGTCTCGATAGAACTAAGAGATGTAAGTGTCAAAAATTCAATTTTTCTATATCAAAGTACCTACACTAGTAGCATGAAAAGAAATTCAATTTCAATAAACAAGGGAATTCCTATTTTATAGAAATGTGGAGTGTATTCCACTCCTCAACTAACAGTTGGCAAAATTCACTCTATACTTTCCTAAAAATTATCTATAGGAATGCCTCTATCAATAACTATTTGTAAAATAAAAAACTAATAACTAAGATAGAGCTGCTAATAACTCTTAATGGTAAAATGGAATAGTTTTTTTCAAGTACTCAAAAAAAAAAAAACATTATGGTACTCATATAATTTAAATCAACCATACTTCAATTATAAGATCAATATTAAACCAAGAAGAAACCATGAAAATTTTTTTACCTAAGATGAATAATTGTCAAGAACCAAGAAAACATGCCTCTATCAACAGGCATAGAATTATCTAAATTTGTAGTTGAAGCACCATCCTCTACAGTATTTTCTGAACCTTCATCAGTTGTACCATAAAATATACGTGACCATCTAAATAAAAGAAATAAAATAATTGAATATTTGAAATATTATTATATTATTATTAAAGAATATACTTTTCATAGTCTTTGTTAACTAGTGCTAATCTTCCATAATCCCAAGCTCTTTTCCTCATAAATGCAAAAAATAATACTAACAACTAAAATTTAAAACAAAATAAATAATATAAATCAACTTAAAATAATAGTAACTGTAAAGGAATTCTTACAATACATCCAAGTGCATTGAGTAACAAGTTCTCAGGTATTCCTTCATAGGCTGTAATAAGAAGTCTATTTCTTGTTCTGTTGAAATAATTACATTTATCTCTAGCTGATCCAGTGAAATAATGTGTATTTGATATATCATCCATTTTTAATAAATATATCTAAAAATAATAATAATCCTATTTTAGGTATGTAGCTATAATTCGAATTTGAAAATAATATGAAACTCATCTATTTTATTTTTATGTTAAAATATTAGAAAGTTTTACATTATATTTATAGGATTCAATTCTTTGTAATTAAATAACTTTTAATGATCTTATTTTAGTTGAATCTATTTAAAGTGATATAAATGAATCAAGTTTTTTATTATTTTAATACTATAAATATATTCACTAGTGATATTTTCAAAAAATGCATCATTAAGAAAGATTTTAAATTGTTTTAGTATCCCCATATTATAGTTTATTTTAATGTATCTAATAAAATTTATAGTGTCTTCAGATTAATTAATACATATCATTTTTCATTGACTGATATTCAATGTTTTCCTAACCAATTTTACTATTATAAATAACATTAAAAAAAAATTGGATTGGAACTATCAATAGACTGAAATTTAAAAACCAATTAAATAATGATATATCTAACANAATTGGATTGGAACTATCAATAGACTGAAATTTAAAAACCAATTAAATAATGATATATCTAACATTTTGTTGCCTTGGGAATAATATATTTAAAATATTTTTTATCCCTAATATAAAACCTTTATATAATTATATAAAGGTTTATATATAATTAATTATTATATAATTTAATTATATATAATTGTATAATTAGGAAAATAAGCCAATTATTCTTAAGATACCCTCATTAAAATCAGCTACTCAGAGCAAAGGCTCTCTTTAAATACACTACCAAGTTAGATAAACAGACTGAACAAAAACTACCAAATTGGTAAGTTAATTTAAAGAATTATATATTATTAATAATACAATTAAAATTGTGAGATATTATAAAATCTACTAGATGGTATAGAAGATAAATAAACTATCATAACTGTTCAAGAAGGTACTTAAAAACAAGTTGGTTACATTAATTTTTAAGATTAATAAGACATTAACAATCTTAAGATCATTAAGTAGTAATTAATTGTTGTATAATAACATAATTATCTTCATATTTAAACAAACCATTCAAAATATATGTAAGAATAAACAATCCAAAATAAAGAAATATTAACTTAAATTACTAATTTATTACAAGTGTTATAAAGAATAAAAAAACAATTAAATTAACATAATTTATAATGGTTTTACACAGTGTAGTTGTCACAAAAAACATTTTTTTTTTTTTTTACTTCAGGGTATACATTGATTTATGAGTGTATACCCTTCAATATAAATAGTGCATAAATATTATTTTTCTAGTGTATATGTTAATTTAAAAAATGTTAGTGTATATACGCCGTATACCCCCAAACACTACTGATTTTACAGTTTAAATTTATAAGAGAAAATATTTTGTAACACAGCCACTTATAAAAAATACAGTTTGTTTTCATGCTAGATTATGATTTCTCTTTCAACATCATTATGAAATTGAATTTTCATTTCATGGTTACAGTCGAGTTGAGCAATGAATTATTCACAATATGATTTAAAATAATAAAATGATTACAAATGTAGATTTAAGAACAAGTACTTACATGTATCGAGGCACCTAGTTTGAGACTTCAGCAAAGAACCAAAGACATTTTTCCCGATTGAAATTGAGGTAGAAAAACGATGACAGAATTTACAATTATCACAGAATTAACAAAGTTAAATTAATGAAATCAATCAATTAGATTCATGACATAGAAAGATAAATATTTTTACAAAAATAAAATACAAAGAAAATTGACAACGAAATTATTAGTGTGTGTGTGTGTATGCAGATGCAAGGGAGGTGAGTCATGAACGGTTGAAAATTTTAACTATCATCTCGTGAATAGACAAACACGAGAATTTCGTTACTTGTACTATTATTAAACATGCATGTAAATAATTGTATTATAGTTTATTGATTGTGCACATACACACACACACACACTCATATGGACACAGATGGATATGGACAACGAAGACGGCCTCCGCAAAAACCGCTCAACACGCCTGTAGTTGTACGACGAAATAGATAGGTAACTGCTCCGCACAGCCGGTCGGTGGTGGCGACGTCACCGTGAGCCGTTTTCTCTGTTGTTAGTGGGTGGTGATGGAGGGGATCAGTTTCAGTTGGTATTTAAGAGTGTGATAACAAGAAGCACGCAGACAAAAGAAAAAATCGATAGTTGATAATACACAAAAAAAAATCATTTTTATCTCTATTAGTTAACGTAATTTATTATTTTTATTGTTAAAAAATAAATATTATCGCTGCTTAGCTATAAAATACAAAAACCTGTGTTCATATTTGTCTAAAGAATAAATGAACAGTAGATATAATTTATTTTAAGTCTTAAAATGTAAAATTATAAAAAAAAAAACGCAGTTAAAAGGAATATTTTATACTTTTAATCTAATTTTATTTCTAATATATTTATTTTTGTAATTAATATAATTTACAATTTTTTTATAATTGTTATTATTTAAATAATTTGAATCGTTTATACAAAATGATCAAATATTATATTATAGAAAATTTGTTGCAAGTCATAGACGTAGACTGGGTCGGCCTGGCCTATCCTGCTACTCAACAATTCCAGGAGCCCTTGGATATTTTTCAATATTAAGGGTTCATAGTCTACGGGCCTCAAGTCCATATACATCTGATGTGAAGAGGTGATGCTTTCACTGATATGCATTCTGAAAATTAATAGGAGATTCCTCCATACCAATAAAAAAATCTTAAATAGTGTGTGAGAGATTAGCTCGAAATTAAATGCCGGGGGTTTTAACATGAACTAGATCCACACAGGACATATAATATAAAATGTAATTGAAGGATCCAAACCAAATTTTGCCCCACCTTAAAAAAATATAACATATAATTTTTCTAAATTTTTAAGCGCTCTTTCATGGCTGTTACTCTACATATATGTAGCAAGCTCATTTTTTTAAGTTAGAGAATTGACAAAACAAAATAAAAACATTATTACTACAATAAAAGATCGATAACAACTTTTGAAACAGTATTTTAAAAAATAGCATAACTTTTATACATTTTTAAATGGTTCATAAACGCCTAAAGATAAAGATAAACATTTATTGTAAATAATATTAATTTATTATAGATTATATTAGCCGGTTAAAGATCTTAGTTATCGAATCCTTATTAAAGTAAAAAGAACCAGCACAGTAGTGACGTGCATAGTTGGAACAAGTATAATGATATCTGACAATGATTAAAATCACTATCATACAAGACGCTTTGATACAAATCTGTAAATAGTGTTTAATTTAAAAAAATTAGTGGATTATTCCAAAAGCTACATGATCTCCTATTTCCTTATTTATATTCTGATTTTAAGTTTGATGATTTATAAGTGTAATATATGAATATATATTTATAAAGGGAAATGGTGTTATTTTAAAATAAAGTATGTCGTATGAAAGAGCGATATAAATATATTCTTTCTCATAAAAAATTGTATTGATCCATACACTTTTCAATAAGTTATAGCATTATAAAGTTAAAAATGTAAAATATAAAATCGAGAATTTTCACACAAAAATAGCATTTGGTAGCCATTTTTACCGTAAAGATAAAATAAAGTCCCAACATTTTTTTTTCAATAATAAAGAATATTACATAAGCTTAATTTAAGGTATATATAAAAGTATCAGTTTCCGAAACACATTCAAAGATTAAGTTCAAAAAGTTGTCGTTTTGAACCCCCTTGTGGACAGGTAAAAGGTTAGCTTTATAAAAAAATATATCAAATGATAGGTAAAGACATCATGCATCTATAAAAAAAAATTATATTGATGTGGTAATTTTTAAAAAAGTTATTGCAAATTTAAGTAAAAAAAATTGAATAAATATCGAAAATTAGCGATTAAATTTGTAATTTTTTGTAATGAGATTTCCCTCATTTAAGGGGACGAAGGTGATTTTTTCAATTTTTGAGTGTAATGTCTTTGACTAGATTCGATTTGTGATCTTTTGACATATCGTTGAAAGAAATCGGTTTGGTGAGATCTAAGAAAAAGTGGTAACAGACACACAAAAAAAAAAAATAACAAAAAACACATCTTGGTAAAACTAATACCTTTTCAGCTTCGCATCGAAGCTAAAATAATTAAACAGGACTCGACTTCACTTTTAGTCATTATAGAAAAGTTAAGTTAAAAACTTTCTAAATTCTTATTCAAAAGTTATTAACGACCTATCATTGCTAAAACATTTATGTTTCCATATAAAAAACCAATAGAACCAATTTAATAATTTTTTTTTTGAAAATTGTAGGATCTACAATCCTATAAATTCCTAAAAAGAAAAAATTTTAATATCTTCTATACTTGTAAAAGTATTGCGCGAAGTATAGTTATTTAGTCATTCTATATATATATATANCAGTTAGTAAGGAAACTGATTTCTGTTGTTCTCGTTGTTTATAATAATTAATCTGTTTTCTTACTTACTGAACATTCTGTATATACATACATTTTTATTAAAATTTTTAACATATTAAAAAGATGTGTAAAATAAATTAGCTAGTTAGTTACGTTAGTTTTAACTATTGGTTACTAATATTTACAAAATTGTTATTATTACATGCGTGACATTTCAAGTTGTTTAATACGGTAGGCTAAAGAAAAATTAATCCGTAGGTCTAGTTTAATTTTAAACGCACTCTTAGGCTAGTAATAATTTTGTTAGAACTTTCCACAATATTTTTTATTTTAGTTAGCCTTGACAGCACATGCATGTAGTTTATTACTTATTAATAGTTCATGCGCATTTAAGTTTGTGTATTTAAATACACTACCAANTGTAGTTTATTACTTATTAATAGTTCATGCGCATTTAAGTTTGTGTATATAAATATACTTTTATGATACTATTATACTCTCTGTGTTGTATTTATTAAAATTAAGTTTATACATACATAGATAACAAGGTATGTAAATTAACTGCTAAGGAAGTATTCCAGGTAAAATTTCACTGGAAATGGTCATTATTAGGTTATTATTTTGATATTGACTAGAAGAAACTATAACTTATTATAATAACAAATTATACTAAACATTATTTATTATTACAGTTTTTTTCGTGTTATTACGTTTTTTCTGGATAATGAAAAGAATATAAAATAGAATTTTATATTCTTATTTTATAAATTTATATTTAAAATTAAGTTCATATAATCTATTTAAATTATTTATGCATAGGTGAATCTGTGACTTGTGTTGGATGAGTGATACATTATCTATAATGATATTTTTGTTAATATTACAAAATTATTTGAACGACTTTGGAAATTTGAAAGAAAAGGTATAAGAGAGTTTCTCTCGCATTAATTTTTTTCTCAAATGAAAAAGTATGTTATTATCAAATTAATGAAAATAATAAACATAACAATTAATGATAGGTAATTTAGGTTAGGATGAGAAAATATTATAATTCCATTTTGATGTACAAAAATGTTGAGTTATGATTAAAGATCTATCTTCATTTGAGATGCTAATTTCTCTATCATCAATGTTATAATGCAATCATGATTATAACTACCACGTATTACCCTTTAGAAGGGTAACGAATGAAGGATTCTGTTCAACTAACACCAGTGGCGGCTCGTGGCTTGGACGGCGAGACGATCGCACCCCTACTAAAATTAATTAAAAGAAGAAAATTAATTCTTAATTCTAAATTTTTATTAAAAATACAAATTTTTAATTAGTAAAATAGTTATAATACATTTGTCGTGTGCAAACATTACAGTTGTTTTTCTAAGTATATACGCGTATGCATGTACACACGATCAGTGTTTAGACGACCGGCAGCGTCAACCGAACAATATTTTGAAACGTATATAATGGGCGAGGCGCTGCAATTGTGTGCGCTCGGGAACGGTTCAGTTGTGATCTTATGTACAGGTTTTGGACGACCAGCAACGTCGTCCATGTAGTAAAATATTAGTATATTAAATTATTTTTAGAATTAACTGCTTGTCGTTATCGGTTGCTATTATAATATAATCGCTATTATTATTATTTTCAATAATTTATTATTTTCAATATTTATTATTATTATTTTCAATAATATTTTCTACTGCGACTTTAGAATAATATGTGTATTGTGTTTTATTTTTAGCTTCGATGCGAAGCTGAAAAGGTATTAATTTTACCATGACGTGTTTTTTTTTTATGTCTGTTGCCACTTTTTCTCAGCTCTCACTGGACCGATTTCTTTAAACAATACATCAAAAGATCACAAATCGTATTTAGTTGAAGATATTATCCTTAAAAATTGAAAAATTTTCCCTCGTTCCCCGCAAATGGGGGAAATATCCAAAAAAATTACAAATTTAAAAATCGGTAAATTTTGTCATTTTATTCACTTTTTTTTCTTAAAACTTCTATAACTCTTTCAAAAATCAACAAATTAACATAATTTTTTTATATACTAAAACCTTAGATATTTCCCTTTCATTTGATATCATTTTTTTGAAAATTTAACACTTAACCTGCTCACTGTGGGAGATTTAAAATAGCAACTTTTTTATAAAAACTAACTTTTTCAACTTAATTTTTGAAATTTTCCGGAAATACTGCGTCTTTTAAATATATATCAAATTATAGCTTATTTTATGTACTACAAAATTAAAAAAAAAATTTGTCCCGACACTTTATCTTCTGCATGTAAACGGCTGCCGTAGTTAAAAAAACACTATTTTTTGAAAAATGTATATATCAGCACAAATTTTTTTTTTCTAAATACAATATAAGTACATCTTTCATTTGACATACTTTTTATTAAAATTGGACAATTTGCCCTAATATAGGGGGTGTTCAAAACTTGAAATATTGTATAAAAATAGAACTTTTTCAACTTAACTTTTAAAAGTGTTCCGGAAATACTGCGTCCTTTAAACATATATCAAATTAAAGCTTATTTTATGTACTATAAAATGAAAAAAAAAAATTTGTCCCGACACTTTATCTTCTGCATGTAAACAGTTGCCGTAGTTAAAAAAACACTATTTTTGTGTTAAAATTTTCGATTTTCAATTTTTAATTTTCAACTTAAAAATGCTATAACTTTTCGAAAAATGCATGTATCAGCACAATTTTTTTTTTTCTAAATACATTATAAGTACATCTTCCATTTGACATACTTTTTATTAAAATTAGACAATTTCCCCTTATATAGGGGGGGTTCAAACTTTGAAACATTGTATAAAAAATAGAACTTTTTCAACTGAACTTTTGAAAATGTTCCGGAAATACTGCGTCCTTTAAACATATATCAAATTAAAGCTTATTTTATGTATTATAAAATGAAAAAAAAAAATTTTTCCCGACGACCTATCTTCTATGCGCAAATAGCTACCGTATTAAAAAATATGCTATTTTTCTATTAAAATTCTAGGTTTTGTATTTTAGCTTCGATGCGAAGCTGAGAAGGTATTAATTTTACCATGATGTGTTTATTTTTTTTTTTATTTTTTTTTTATTTTTTTTGTGTCTGTCACTACTTTTTCTCAGCTCTCACTGGACCGATTTCTTTTAACAATACGTCAAAAGATCACAAATTGTATCTAGTTGAAGACATTACCCTTAAAAATTTAAAAATTTTCCCTCGTTCCCCGCAAATGGGGGAAATATCCAAAAAAATTACAAATTTAAAAATCGACAAATTTTGTCATTTTTTTCACTTTTTTTTCTTAAAACTTCCATAACTTTTTCAAAAATCAACAAATCAACATAATTTTTTTTTAA